GGGCAGGGCCCAGCTGGACCACAGCATGGCTCAGGACCATAAAAGCAAGTGCCTGGGGGGAGCTCCGGGGGCCGGGCAGCACTGGTCCACACAAGAGCGCAGGCAGCTCAGCCAGAGGTGGGGGCATGCTTGTCATGGCCCACCGGCTACTTGGGACAGAAATATGGGCTCCGAGCCTCAGGACCCAGTAGTACTTTCAGAAGTCAGGTGTCCAGAATGACAGCCCCCAGGGTTCTTCTGGGGGAGCCCCTCCTGAGTGGAACCAGAGCTGGGATTTATGGTCAGGCCTCCTGAGTGCCAGAGCAGGGCACAGCCTCCCTCCATCTCTGCTATGCCACACGGCAGTGGTTACGAACCTACAGCATGTGTGTTGTTTTTATTTTGAGACAGATGTTAATGTATGAGTTGTTTCTTCTAAATGAAAACCTCCTTGTTCAGGTTTAATTCCTGTTGGCACTTAGTGATAAATAAGTGGGTTTTGGGTTGCAGTTTGGGCTCTCGTCTCTGAAAGGTTCACCATCACTGGCATAGGGTGACCTGACACCCCACTTTGTCCCGGATGGCCCTCTCACACCTGACCCTGCTGGTGTGTGGTGGGCCCCTCCTGTACCCGCAACCTCCTGGACTTATTCCAGCTTCTGGTTGATGGGGTAGTGGGCAGAATAGTCCTCTTCGAGGGGTGGTGGGCAACCAGAAAAGCCTGCACACCCTGCTCTCCTTATCTCTGCCTTATCTGCCACAGACACGACAGGCTGGGGCGTGAGCCCCCGTGGCGCTGGCTACCTGTTTGGCAGTGATGTGGTGGCCCAGTTCAATGCCGCCAATGACATCGACATGATCTGCCGTGCCCACCAGCTAGTGATGGAAGGCTATAAGTGGCACTTCAACGAGACCGTGCTCACTGTGTGGTCAGCACCCAACTACTGCTACCGGTGAGAGCGGTGGGGCCAGGAGGTGGGGTGGGGACCCAGGCTGGCCTGTCCTGACTGCTGCCCTCTGCCAGCTGTGGGAACGTTGCAGCCATCTTGGAGCTGGATGAGCATCTCCAGAAAGACTTCATCATTTTCGAGGCCGCCCCCCAGGAGACTCGGGGCATCCCCTCTAAGAAGCCTGTAGCCGACTATTTCCTGTGACCCCTTGGCCCCACCCCTCCTGAGCTCTCTGGCCCTTGGACCACTGTGACTCTGTCTTCAGCTTGGCTCTCCCCGTGGGGGCATTTCCAGGGCGAGGACTTCTCTGGAGATTGTGGAGCCTTTGTACCATGCTCCTCCTCTCCTTTCTCCCCAGTTGAACCATGAAATTTGTGGCAAAGTTTTTTTTTCTTTTTTTTTTTGGTTTTTAGATAAAAAGTTTTGAGAAAAAAAGAAAAAAATTCTAATAAAAGAAGAAAAATGGTCTTCGCGCTCATGTCAGACTTGGTTGGGGATGGGCAGATACTGACCTGGGCCGAGGTGGGAAACCAGAACCTTGGCAGCCTCAGCCCAGCCCTGCGAGGAAGGTGAGTCCTGGGTCTGGCCTGCTCCCTGCAGGCTACCTCAGGACTGGGTAAAAGGTGGCTTCTCAGAGGCAGCCTGAGTCCTCCAAACACCCAGTGTTTTCAGATCCCATTTTCCCGAAGAGGAAGCCAGCCAGGAGCAGGTGGAAGGTGGATGGGCCTGCACAAGCTCAGGCGGCTGAAACCTGGTAGTTCTGATCCTGCCCAGGTGTCCCACTGAGGCTGTGCTCACCCTGCCCCCGCCCCAGGTCAACACCATGGGCCCAGCATCTCCCAAGCACTGGTGTCTTTTGAGTTTTATTAACAAAATTGCTGTGGTCCTGAAGACAGACTGGTGTGGGGGGCCCAGGAGGTGCTGCTGGGCTGTGGCCCCATTTGGCCAGGCATAGCCCGCCTCCATTCACACCGAGGTGAGAGCCGGGAAGGGGAAGCTGGCCCCAGCTGGACTCCCAGCAGCCCTGCCTGAGCTTTGAAGCCAGAGGAGGGTGGGAGTGAAATCAGGGTGTGAAGTGGGGGGGCAGGGCTCAGGCAGCCATTTGGTGTGGGGGATGGGGCCGTGGAGTGAGGGGGCTACAGGGCTGGGGCAAAGGAACAAGAGGCTTGCGATGGAAGATGGCACAGGGGCCCTGTGACAGCTCAGTACATGGGCTTGGAGCCCACATCCAGGTAACCCCCAGGCCCTGGATATGGCAAGGGGAAGGGGCCCCCCTGCAGGAAGTGTGGGGTAAAGGATGCAGCAGGTGGAGCTGCTGGGTAGCCTGAGCTCCCTGGTCCAGGCTGTAGTTCCAAGAATGCAGCTGCACAGGGGGCTGGGCGCCCAGAGTCTGGAGCCTCTGGAAAACTGGGGTTCCTGAAGTAGAGACATGTCTCAAGATAGAACCCCACGCCCTTGAAACACCTCAGCCTGTGCCCTTGGCCCACTCACCTGCTTGGTAGGTGGCCTGAGGCCCCGTGGAAGGCGGCAGGGTGCAGAAGGTAGGCCTCGGCACTGGGGCCACTGCAAGGGGGAGCCGGGGCAAGGGCAGCTTCCCGGGGGGCCGGGGCCTGCTCTGGATCTGGCTCACGAATGTCCCCTCCCAGGGTGGAGTCGCAGGGACCTCCTGGTGTGTCTGGGGAGACATGGACAGGTTGGTGAGGGGGGTCGGTCTCGGCCCGGCCCGTCCCATGGGGAGCACTCACCTCCACTCCCGTAGGCCTCTGTGGTGACTGGCTCTGAGCTCCGGAGTTTCCTCCTCACACGGGCATCTCGCTCCCTGGGGAACAGCAGTGAGCACGATGACGATGGTACTAACAGCACTCTCCAGGTGCCAGGCACTGCACCCTCCCAGGGGCCCTATCAGGAAGGTGTCATTGTTATACCCACTTTACAGACAAAGGCACTGAAGACTAGAGCACTCAGCAGTTAGCAGCAGGTCTGCAACTTACTCCCTATTCGTGCTTCTCTGCTGCTTTCCTACTGCGTTTGGTACCCTTCCCAGGCCCATTAGATGCCTTTTAGCCTCTCTGGAAGCTTCCTTCTCTACACCTGCTTAAGACACCCTTTTTGTCTCATCCTCAAGAAAGACCTGACCTCCCAGCAGTGCCCTACAGCTGCCTCACGGCATATCACAGTCCCACTTTTATACCGACCCTGTGGGGCGCGTCTGTCTCCTGACCAAAGGCAGAGGTCGTTCGGAGGGGCCCGAGTCCTTGCTAGGCTTTCACTGCCCAGCATCCTTTGGCTTCTGGTCACCTCCCTGACTTGCCTCACTCCAGCTGCACCCCCACATGGTCATGCTTCAGGGCCCTTGTGTGTGCAGTTCCACTCCCTCCTGTGATTTCCCCCTGCTATCCACATGGCTCCCTCCCTTCTCAAATGCCCCCTGCAGGAGACCTTTCTCAGTCATTATCTAACATTGCACCCCAATCCTTCCTATCCTTCCCTCTTTATTTCTCCTGACTTTGGAACTGTCCCTAAATATATTATTTCTTGTTTATTTGCCCACTGCCCAGTCCTATGAGGACGTGAGGACCTTTGGTTTGCTTTGTTTACCATCATATCTTCAGTGCCTAGAGTGATGCCTGGCAGGCAGCAGGCAGTGAGAAGTAAGTAATCATCCGCAGAACCAGTAAGCAATAAATGAATACCCTTAGGCTGCTGTGTTCCTGGTACCCAGCACAGTGGCTGCACACGGGGACCAGTTAGTAAATATTGTCAAGTGAACAAGTGCGTGAATAAAGATGCCCACCTCTTACAGTTCCTGCCATTCTCCCGGAAGCCTTTAGCAAAGGGATTGGCTGCGATCTTCAGTTGTGTGATCTGGGGGCACACAACCAGGTCAAAGCGGTGGTGGCCTGGGCAGGGCCCTGCACCCCTCCAGCACCTCACTCACCCGCGGGTTCTGGTAGGCTGTCACAGAGATAAACATAGTCTCCGGGAAGCGGAAGGAGGCCACGCCCCCCCAGTGCTGGCTGCAGAGCTGGGCTGCCCGCACCAGGTGTATGCGGGGTTGGTACTTGTGCATGGAGTGCAAGATCAGCTGGGAGGAAAGAAGTGGGGGTGATTCCCGGCCCGGCCCTAGGCCCTGCCTTCGCCTCCACCCAGCCCCACCCCAAGCTCTTCTGGGCTGCCCGCCTGGGCCTCACATGGCCATGGGGGTCCAGCGTGCTGTTGGTGAGCTTGACACGATGGAAGGACACAGGCTGCCGCATCCAGTGGGCGCCAGTGGCTGGAGAATCTGGGTGAATGTAGACTCTGTCCGGCAGGCGGGGCTCTGCCTTGCCACTGGGCTCCCAGCGCCTGCCCTGCCAGCGATAGCGAGCCCCGTCCACCGGCACCACATCCAGAAGAAACAGGTAGCGGGCTTCGGGCTCCAGGCCAGTAACTGACACCCGGCAAGCAGGGAACATGCGTCTGCATGGGCGAGAGGAAGGGAGGGGCCAGAGGTAGGCGCTGTACCAGCAAGGAGGCTGGCAACAGTTCTGCCAGAGAAACATCAGGAAGGTGAAATTAAAACCCATAGCAGAAGCTTAGAGCTGGATGGCTTCAGATGGAGAGACAGAACAGGCTAGTTAGGGGCCCTGACTGGGGTCACACAGCAGGCTAGGAGCAGAGTGCAGCCTCCTCAAACTATGCGGGAAAGTAGTGGTGACTTTTTTTTTTGGTACCCGGGATTGAACTCAGGTTTGCGAGGTGGGTGGCAGGCAGAGCTAAATCCCCGGCCCCTGTGGTGATTTAACTTTCCTCCCTGAAATCTGTAGGAACTTCTTGTGCCCTATTCTGACCCCCTCATTCAATCTCTACAGCTGCTAAACAAACTGGTTTTAGAAAAAAATAGGCCCTGAGCTGGTATGCCTGTAATCCCAGGATGGAGAGGCTGAAGCAGGAGGATCACAAGTTCAAGTCTCATCTGGGCAATCTAGCAAGACCCTGTGATGATGATGATGATGATGATGATGATGATGATGATGATGATGATGTATACAGCTGGGAATGTAGTTCAGTGGTAGGGCAGTGTGGCTTCAGGCCACAGTACTACCCCCACTCCAGGCCCTGCCTTCAGTGGGGCAGATGATTTACCCTAAATAAAGCCCTTGTACAGGTCACACACTGATCACTGCCTTGCCACTAGGGTGAACCCAGTCATGTCACTGATTCCTATCCAAGTCACACACTAGCCTCTGGTCCTGGCCAGATTTCCTTGCTGCTGGTCACTGCCCACCAGTCTGAACCCAGATTCTAGTTACAGACTGACCCTGATCTGGGCATCCACTAATCTATAACCTCGTCAGACCTCCTGACCCTGGTGTATATTCACCTATGGCTCCTAAAGCCAGTTACAAACTCCACAGACTGACCCTTGACCCTGGTTACAGAACGACTCCTTCTTCCATCCTCAGAGTCAGTGGTTTCCTAGGCAATAGCGTCCAAACTCTGGCAGACCTCTAGTCCCAGAGAAGCCCCGAACCTGTCCCCATCCCAGGAACTGTGCCTTTCCTGAGACTGTGGCACAGACTGACCCGGCCAGCCCTCACCTGCCAGCTTTGGTGATGATCATCTCCGTCCCCACAGCACTGAACTCCTTCCATAGCTCTTGGTTCTCCAGGCCCAGGCTGACCCCAGGGAGTGAATGAAGGGCCTCTGTGGCTGGCAAGGCTGGCTCTGTGCCCAGGGTGGGGGTTAGAAGGGGCAGAGGTGGGGGTGCAGCCAACGTGCGTGGTGCAGCTTCAATCCCAGAGAGGTAGCAATCCAGTTTGGGGGGTTCTAGATCTGCAGATGAGGGAAAAATGAGGGGGCAGCCCAGGGTCGCTCCCAGCACCCTCTGGCCTGGAGCAGGTCCCACAGCTCACCAGGATAGCGGTAGCCCTCTGCCAGGGCAGAAGGGAAGCTGGAGTCAGCCCCAGCCTGGGGGGGACCCAGACGGTAGCCGGCCCCCAGGGAGGGGTACAGCTCTCGAGGATGGTACATGCTGTAGTCTCGCTGGCCTCTCAGGTCGCGCTGCCTGGAGTCCCCGAGTGCTGAGAGATGCCCCTTTATAGCTCACAGCTCAGCCCCTTGCAGACCCGGGATCACAGCCCCTCCCCTCTTTGGGGCCCTGGAGGTGGACTGAAGACCCCTGGGGCCTAGAAGGGATCCAAGAGGGGGCCGGATACCTGAGTACCCTCCCCCCTCCTCTTTGCGCGACTTCATTAGCCCCGACCCCCTGCCCCCTCATTACATAATTAACTCCTCGGCCTGATTGATCCCCAGGGCTCGGACAGAGACGCAGTTTGGCGCTTCCGGCCAGCTGGTCCCCGTTCCCACGGGGGGAGCCCCGGCTAGGGATAAACTAAAGGGGGCGGGGCCGGGGTCCTGGG